AAGCTGTGTGTTCACTAGAGTGGAAGCTCCACCCAGGCAGGGACTTCCATCTGCTGTGTTCATTGCCGTGTCCACAGCGTGTGGCCCAGTGTGAGTGCTGAAACATACATGGTGCATGAAGTACACTTCACCAAGTTTAGCTGCCACATCTCCAAAACAGCGTTCCTTCCAACCTGTTCATTTTAAGTAATATTAGAGCCCTTATGAATTTAAATAAGATAGATTCATAGCTGGAACTACTTACTCAGCTTTTACCTGGGACTTCCTAAAACTGTTTTGTTCTTCAAAGCTCATTGCATTGAATATTATTAACATGAGTAAGGTAAGAGGTAAATTGGTCCATGTTTACCACCTTTGAAAGGATGAAAACAAAAACTTTAAAATTAAAAATGTATAATTCAAATTCACAAAATTAAGTAAGTACAAACTGGCAGTGACCAGAGGTGGGGGGACAAGGGTGGAAAGAAGGGGAAGGGCCTCATTAAAGAACAGGTATGAATGACCCACGGACATGGACAGCAGGGCAGGGACTGACCGTGGGAGTGGGGGTGGGCAGGGCAGGGGAGAGCAACCGGGGAAATTTGGCACAACTGTAATAGAATAACAATTTTTTTAGAAGTCTAGAAGGAAGTTTAATAACCAACCTCTCAATTGATTTTTTAAAAATATGTAGTATTTATATTTTAAAAACTATAAAGGTTTAAAACTGCTCTAAAATTTTGGGGACACCATGTAGATATAACCTTCTTTAAGAAAACTTGATATTACAATAAATAAAAAACAAATGAATGGATTCTTCACTTTAAAATTTTCTCTTTTCATTAATTGAACAAATATGTGATGGATGACAACCATGTGAAACCTCTGTTGGTAAATGCAGAGAAACCAGGTCTTGACAGCCAACCTCTCCGGACCCCAGGACGCCAGGTGTGCACAGAGCCCCGAGGCCTCGGGGCCAGAGTCGGCTGGACACTGAGAAGACTGCAGGAGACGCCTGGAGCTCTGTGTGCTGCTGACAGAGCACAAGCCCCTCCCCGCCCCTGTGGCAGCCTCCCCACTGCACTCACCGGGTCTCACTCCTCAGTGGGTGGGGCTTTCCGTTCCCCAGGGCTTCATGCTTCCTCCATCCCAGTGTTCAAGGAGATCCTGACTCCTCCTCAATAGCCCACTGCTGCTCTCACCCCATCACTCTCTAGCCCCCTTATCCTGCCTGTTTTTTTTCCATTGCACTTATCACTGGTCATATTATTTGTTTATTTGTTCATTGTATTTCTTGTGTACATGCACACTAGAACGTAAGCTCCAGGATAACAAGAAATGTGTGGTTTATCACTGTATCCCTGACACCTAGCACAATGTGTGACACACATCAAGGTCGTAGTAAGTACTGGCTGGAGGACAAATGGAATGAGCACACACTCTGACCTGAACCTCCTTACTGCCAACTCTCTTAACTGTTTCTCCTCCAGTTTCCACCATCACCTCATCATTTAGATTTAAAACTTGCCCACATTTTTTCTAGCCATGATCCTCAGGGAATGTGTTGTTCCCCCCTGGCTTCACTGTCACAGTTCTTCTTGGCTCTCATTGGTAACAAACCCTTGGGGCTTGTCCCTACCCAAGTGGGACCTGGCCAGTATGTGTGCGTGAATGACATGCTGCTCTGCCACAGTGAGTCACAGTAGATAAATATGTACGAGGTCTGCCCAGAAGGAATCCAGCCATGTAATACGAAAAATAAAGGCATTTATTGAAGAAGATACAAGAAACATTGTACAAAGGACAATGACACCTCAGTCCCCTTCAAAGTAGACACGTTGGGACCTCACACAGTTCTCCCAATTGCCATCAGCTGCTCCATTGTATTTTCCTGGATCTCATCAACAGTCTGAAATCTCTTCCCTTTCAAAGGTGATTTTAGTTTTGGGAGAAGCCAGAAGTCACAGGGCACCAAATCTGGGCTGTAGGGGGCTGAGTCACCTGAATAATTTGATGTTTCACCAAAGTATCTTGTACAAGACGTGATGCATGAGCAGGCATGTTGTCATGATGAAGCTGCCAATCACCAGTTGCCCACAGCTGTGGCCTTCTGAATCATGTGAATAGTTTCTGTGGAGAAATGCTCAAGCTTCATGCAAAATTTGATGCAGATTTGTTCCTCTACTCACCATCATTTTGAATGTGACAACCATACATGCTTGCTCAGCAGCATCTACCGCCTCCACTGACTAGTACAGTGAAGTTGTCATTGTTTACCTATGCACATTCCAGTCCACTCTCCTTGGCTGCCAGGTTATATGATGTCTCACAAACCATTCTCATTATATTAATAATGACTGGACTTTTTCCAGACAGGCCTTGTATGTACCAAAAATTAATAGCACTCAGAATGGCCATAAATGAAGCCCCTGCCCTTGTTAAGTGTACACATTACACATTTACAACTCAAATGGGCAAGACAAAGACCAGAAAGAGAGAGTGTAGAAAATTCCTGTTCCTTCCATTGGTAAATGGGTACATCAATGTGAATGTTGATAGGAGGACAAATTGATACAATGTCTATGAGGAACAACTTAGAAAAAGATACTAAGATTAAACAGATCCCCTACCCTTTCACCAGCATTTCAACTTCCAGAAATTTATAAAAACTCTTCTTTAACAACTGAAAACATCTCAAATGCTCATCAGTAAGGAGATGGCTTAATTATGACACCAAATAACCATGCAATGGAACAGTGCAATCATTAAAAAGAATAAACGTGGGCATGTTTGTGGTGTGATCCTGTTACTGAGTTTACACCACTGTTCTATATAGTGGGGATAACAGTGAGCAATATTCCTATGTCCTTGTCCTCCTAGAAATAAGTTCTAACTGGAGAAACAGACAACAAGCAAACAGGTTTCATGGAAGGGGGAGCAATACTATGAAGAAGTATAAAGCCTGGCGAGAGGATCAAGACTGATAAAGATTGGAAAAAGCCTCTCCGTGGAGGTGGCATCGGAATGGAGACCTGAATTAAATGGGGGAGCAAGGCGAGAGAATCAGAAGGGACAGCCAGTAGGGACACAGGGCCTGAAGCCACGTGCTTGGCATGTACAAGGAAATTCAAGGCACAGTGTGACTGGACAGCAGTGATCACATGGGGTGAGGGCTGGAGGGTAAGATCTGAGAGGTAACGTGGGTCTTGTATGGCATTTCACAGGCCACCGTAACAATTTTGGGTTTTCTTTTAACTCTGATGATAAACCATCATAACCATTTGAGCAAAGAAGTATCATTTTCAGACGTGTTTTTAAGGAATCACCATGGCTCTTCTGTAGAGAGTATTCAGAGTGGGGTCACTATCTCATAACCAATTAGACCCTCTTTCAGACAATTTACAAAAGGGTTGTAATGATCTAAAAGCAGAAGAAAACAGTCTTCCATATGGTTTATTTAACTGTTTTAGGCACCTGCTTCACAGATTTTTATGAAAATTGAAAAGTTTGTGTGTGTATTTGTATACTGTATATTTACTGTATGTATATGAGGGGGGACCCAAAAACAGAATTTATTTATAAAAAATTGTGTATTATCACATGTTTAAACTTCAGTCACTTCAAAGTGCTCTCCATTTGATGCAGTACACCTATCGAGACATTTTTTTCCACTGCTCAGAACAGTTTGTGAACTTGTTGATTTTGATGCCTGATGTGTTTCTGCCATTTTTTGTTTCACCTCTTGCACATTGGCAAAACATTTCCTTTTGAGGATGTTTTTCATCCAGGCAAACAAAAAAAATTACTTGGAGTGAGATAGAGTGTATCAGGAGGTGGGGGATGGGGATCTTGTCATTTTTGGTCAAAAACTGCTGAACAATCAGCACAGTGTGGGTAGGTGTACTCAAATCACCCATCATGAAACAAACAAATGAGTTGTCTTCAAAAAAAAGGTCACTGAAGCTGAATGCAGCCTCTCACCACGATGCCAGCTGGCACACTGATACAGATGGGTTCCTAGAACACTCACCTGGGTGGGAAACCCTGTACTACAAGAGGCCTGCCCTCCAGAGAATGATTCTGGATTTTGGGGGGGGTCCCCTCTCATATACTTATGTATATAGAGCATTTCTTATATATTATTAATGGATATTAAGTAATACTTTATGAAAAATTGAAATAAAACCACAAATGCTGATAGAACATATAGATGGAAAAAACATGGCAGATATTAAGCCTAAAAGTTTTTCTAACCCTTTGATATTGCTCTAATCAAATAAATGTTTTAGAATTGCATTTAGTGCTATGAATAGAATGCTGGTTAACACATTTCAATGGGGCTCAGGGTGGTTGCTCTGAACTTAGAGTTTATCAAGAAAATGATCAGCCAGCATAAGTTCATAGTGCATATAGAGTCAAAAGACCATGTGATAAGTTTGAAGCTTCGGACTTAATATCTATTCTACCTACCTAGGTAACATACATGCCATTAAATGGGATTATGTATGTATGTTAAAGTGCTGTGAAAAACATTAAATATTGAAGTTTCTCTTCATGAGGCATGCTGATATGTGGCAGTACCAAGACTGGTATTTTTCATGCCTGGTTCCAAGTGCCTCTTCTCCTTTAAAGGAGAGAGCGCACACACTGAGGTCTGCTCCCACACATTTGCAGCATTCCCAATTAGGTTGTCCAGCATTATCCTTCCACATAGCAGTTCAGTGCCAGATCAGTTTTTCACTGAAGTTCCCAACCTCAGCTGCAATAATTCAATGAGTTCCTTTTGGCCCCACGGAGAGTCAGGGAGCCTCTGGAATTGGAGCAATGGTCTACTGTTGCTGCCACCCCTCTTGGCCAAAGCACACAGGCCAAACGATTTTATCAATCAGATTATTCTTTTAGACATTATTTTTCTGAGTAAACGTTTAACTATGTGCATAATTAACTGTTGTATTTGCAGAGTCAATATTCAGGAAACTGTCTCAACAGAACTTAGAGTTTCTTTCCCTCTCTCCTGCCAGAGTCCGGCCACAAGAAGTTAAAAAGTACCATACAGAGAAGCACAGAAACAGGAATGGCGGCCGAAATGAGGAAGATGGTGAGGCAGCCAAGCCGCGAGTCCACAGACGGCAGCATCAACAGTTACAGCTCCGAGGGCAAGTAAGTGACGTGGCACGTCTGTCTGGCCTTAGAACCGTGGGCTTGTAGTCATAGGTAAAATAACAGAGCCACCAAAGGCTAGTGTGCAGCTTCTTTATTCAACAAGTGGGTCACAGACATACCTCCGCACCTACCTGGTCACTCAGAATGGTCACAGAAATGATGAAATGTTGGTTAACATAAATAAACCGATCTCTACCATCCAGAAGAGCTCAGAATAGTCCATTAATGGATGTAAATGTCACATTTAATGGATGCTTTCATATGGGCTATTCATTGTCTGGCCTGGTTACCAAAGTCTGAATTAAAATTTGGAAGTGAGGAGCTAATTTTCCATATTCCTACTTTTTTCCAAACTATTTTGGGCCCTAAGTTGTAAGTCTAACACTCTCATAATAACAACTTACATTTTCTTGTTTATAAAATATCACTAACTCATTTTCACCTTATGATAAAAGAGTAGAATCTACCTTCCTCATTAATTTTTTTGACTAAAGAGTTTTAGTTGATTCTTAAGTTAATTAATTTAAAAATGTAATTAGAATTTTATTTTGCGTATATGGTTTGTTTTTTAATATTTCATATAGATTTTTATACAGAACCTGAATTTTCCTATGCTTGAGAATTTTTCCAATAAAACTGAACCTTAACTGAGGTGATAAATCTTAAAAACTAGTAATTATTATTCTGCAGTGGGTGACTTGGGGGTTTACCATGTACAAATTCTTTATAATTTTCCATTTATTACCATTTGAATATCTCATTTACCAATCATATTAGTGATTTATTTTATTGTACTTTACTGGACTTTTTTCTATTTTGTTTAGAAAATGAAATAAAATTATACCAAGTTAATATTTATGATATGTGTTCCCCATCTAAAATGAGTAAATTCATTTATTTGATCAAGTGAGTTGGGATGCACACTCCTAGACAGAGATCACTAAGAACAAGAATCAGTAGGAGTAAAAGTTATGGAGATAAACTTGCTGAAAAATATCAATATTTGATGAAATATTATAAAAACAATGTGCAAGTGCAAGACTGGAGACATCATTTTTTGATATAAAAATTAACAAGTCAAATAATATATACCTCCACCATGGATAAGACCCATAACCTCATGAAGATTTATTTGCATAGCCTTTGGAAGGGGTAATAATATATGCCCCAATTCCCTTGATTGTGAGGAAATAGTAAGTGTGGAAGCATGTTGGAAACAATAAATCCCTGTGGGCATCTGCTTGTTCAGAAAATACTTATTGAAATACAGCTACTTTACAAGCGTGGTCCTCACAGGACATACCAATAAACAAGAAGAGTATAATAACTACTGAGGTGAAGCTTCTAGCCCAGCAAACTCAGGCAGTCATGATGGAGTAAGAAATACACATATTTTAATCAATTAATTTCCATTTGAACTAAATAAAAATCTCAGATAATATAAAAATGTAAATAAAATGAATAAATTAAAACATCTTTATTAGTAAATAAGAACATGTACTGTGCTATATTTATTTAACATATTATTAGGCATTTTTTAAGTTTATCGTTAATGTTTATGAACAATTATGTAAATTTCATGACATAAAAATTCTCATCTTACATTTTATGTCAGTGATATATTTATGTAGGGGTTTTTATTTGTAAGTGTCCAGAAAATGTAATATATTAAAAACTATAGCTGAGCTCTCCTGATAGATCATCAGCTTTTAATTGGAGAGTTGGGGACTTCTCTCCATCAACGCTGAACCTCACTCATATGTGTCCTTGATTCAGAGGCAGTGCAGTCAGTAAGTGAACCAATTGTCTAAATGGTATTTATAATTCATGGTCAAAATCAGTAGTCAAATGGAAACTAATGAAAAGAATTCTAGGAGTGCTCATGTTTTGATTCATGTCCTTTTGCTAATAGCTTAATATTTTCTGGAGTGCGACTGGGAGCAGACAGTCAGTTCAGTGATTTTCTCGATGGACTGGGACCCGCCCAGCTTGTCGGCCGCCAAACCCTGGCCACCCCTGCAATGGGTAAGACTCATGTTTTCTACGGCAAAACTGATACATCCTGGTTGACAAGGTCATTGAAAGTAAATGAAAAGTAACATTTCAGTTAGGGTGTTGTTAGTTTCAAATGACTATTCTAATTTCTAATATATTTCTCTAACTGGAGACACTACACAAAATGAATAAAGTTAGTCCTGCATCTTTGAATGATCAGAAACCCCCTGTAAGGTGGAGTGCCTACAATGGATCCAAATGTAAGGTAGAGAGTAGAATTGCACAGCATGGAAAAAAGGAAGGATTATTCAGTAAAGGAGGCTGGCGTAAATGTTTAATTATATAAAGTAATGAAATTGCCTCCCTACTTCAAAACTTTAAAAAATAGTATTTTGACTAAATTGTTAAGAGAAATAAGCGGTGAAGAAAGATACGGGAGAATACTGAAAAACACTTCAGGTAATGTTTCTGTACTCTTGGTGTGGGAAGAATTTCCAAAGGATCAAACCAAAGCCAGATAAACTGAAAATGTCTGCTGGCACAATGTACCCTGAATGAGGTAAAAGGAAAGCTAACAAAAGGAGAAAACAAGGTGTAGCCTGTGCACTAGGTATTTGTTGAAGAACGTGAGATTCCAGTCTGAAAGGACCCGTGTGGTACTCAGGAAAGCCGCATGAAAATGGGTCGACGCAGAGGCACGTCGTCGTGGAATTCCACAGCACCGGAAATTAATAGATCATCCTCCAGGTTTCCTGAGAGGATAATTCTACACAAAACTATTGAAATCAGATGTTCATTGGACTCCTCAATAACGCTGGAAGCTAGAAGACTTCTGAGCATTGCCTTCAAAATTCTGAATAACAATTGATTTCCAGTATAGAGTGCCATAGCCAGCCAAATTTTCAAGTTTAAGGCTAGAATAAATAAAAACTCAGACAGGAAAGTCTCAAACATTTCCCTCACACCCAGTATTGCTTCGAAAGCTATTGGAGGATATACTGCCACAAAATGAATAAAGTGAACTTTAAAAATTGTGAACCAAAATGAGAAGATGAGATCCAGTAAATAAATGCTTCAGCCCTTGAGAAATGATGGGCAGTGAAGGAAAACTTGGAGATAACAGCCACAGCAAGCTTTCAAAGCAATTTGCCCAAATTGGAGCAGGTCAGATTTCATAAGATAAGATCTGTAGAATGCCTAATATGTTTGATTTCATGGAAGAGGTAGACAACCAGGACAGAGTAAGGGCTTGAATTAGGGATATGTACATAAAAACGTAAGTGAATACTTTCTTAAAAGGCACTTCCTAAGTGTAGGGAAGAGGGTGAGCTGTTCAAGAAATTGGAAGTACTAATCCCAGTATTCCAGTTTGCTCAGCTAGAAATAATGTTAGCTGATCATAATAATACAAATATTGATGCTGGGGGAGAAGGGTGACAGGGCCCAGTATGTGGTGGGGATGATAGGGGACAGTCAGTAATAATATCTGAAGCAAAAATATAGGATATTGTAAGAATAGTATTTAGAGATGTAGGGGCAAATGTCAAAAAGTGAAAAATAAATCAGATAAAAACTTTGAAAATTTTGAAAGTAGTGACTGTTGGGAGCCAAGAAGTTGACAGGGAGAATAGGAATCTTTTACACTAATAAAGAAGTCTTATAGAAAAGTTTGACTCATTAAACAATGTGTATATGTGATTAAAACAGAAACAAAAAAGACCAAGAGACCTCCAAGAGCTGAGATCTAAAACAGAATTATAAAACTAATGAACAACCCAGAACCAGAAAGTTGATCAACTGACCTGACAAATAAAGAGAATTCACAACTAAAAATTAGAGATGACTGAACTAACTGAAAATAACGTAGGCATAATTACATGTAACATGTTCAGAGACAAAGCATCACATCCATCAGAAAAAGAGCATCTTATTAAACGTGGGTAGAGGACATGACAGGCAAGACACGAGAGAAGGAATACAAATTGAAAACACTTAGAAATGTGTTCAGCCTTCCTAATAATCAAGGAAATGCAAATTACAACTTTTTAACCCTCAGGTCGGCAACAATCAGATGTGTTGCTAATTCCACCATTAGTGGGCTGTAATATTTCTGGTGACAGTGAAAACTGGCACAGCCTTTCTGAGGATATTTGTGAATGTGCATGGGCTTTTTGAATGCCCATTCAATTAGACTCAGTAATTAAAAATCTGGGAATTTATGCTCAAGAAATAATTGACCACATGTGTAAAAATTCTTTATAAAGTTATTCATGGTAGTGCTGTTTATAATAGCAACAGTGTAGATCATTGTATTTCCATCAACAGGGATGTGGTTAAATAGGTAATTACATGCCTATTTAGTGGTCCATACAACCAATAAACTGAGGATATGTGGTCATAATAGCTAGACAGATAGTTAAGAAGGAAGCGAAGAAGGTTGGGAAAGAGGAAAGTACTTATGACATTACTAGGATATTCACTGAAATATTAATGGTGGTTTCTCTAGATAGAAATATAGATAAATTATGTTTTATTAAGAAATATTTATAAAATATTAATAAATTAATGTTTATTTAAATTAATGTTATATTTTAATGTAATGCTAATATTAATAAAATGTTAAGTATTTTTATTTAAGAAGTCATTCTTATTAAGAAGTACATAATTTTATTAAGAAGTATTATATAATAGATAATATAAGAAATCTTATTAGAGTATAAGAATCACTTGAGTATTTCAGTATTACAGTCATAAAGCAATTTATAAAATAATATGGGCCGCTCTTAAGATAGCTTAGTACCAGAAAAATTAAGAGAAATACTTCAAAACCTGATTAGAAGGCAGGAAGAGTGTGCTTGGAGGGCACTGTATATTAGTGTTTGTCAGGACCATAAAGATCATAATTTGGAGCCTGTTACAGGCCTCTATTTTTTAACTGCACGCAATTGCAAAGAAGCTGAAACCCTTTGCTTCCTGTCCACTTGTAGGCGATATACAAATTGGAATGGAGGATAAAAAGGGCCAGTTAGAAGTTGAAGTTATCAGAGCCCGAAGCCTCACGCAAAAGCCTGGTTCCAAATCAACACCTGGTAAGGAGAGATGTTTGGACGAGAAAACCTGCGCAGGCAAAAAACTCAAAACATTTGCTGCACTGGAATTATGCTCTGTCTTTTATCATCTAATTGATTAAAAAGGCAGCTTTTCTGTGATCTTTGATTCTGTAAAAATGAATCTTTGCACAATTATTCTGTTGAAAGTATTAGGAATAATATTGTCATATTAAGAAATGTTTAGTTATGATTGGTTCTTAGTTCATATCAGTTTTTATACAGTTACAAATGCAAAAGAAAAAAATTAATTCTAATAATAAAAGGAAACAATGAGCTTTAAGATATAAACCTGAATTGTTACTCCAGCTATACCCTAAGTAAGTCAAAGTCTTAAGATGACTTTACCTACATTTATCTGAAAGGAGGAAAATGGCGGTAATAGTAACACATGGGAGTTAAGAAGTAGAATTTATGAAGCACTGGAAATTTCCAGTGATTTAAATAGTCAATTGAAAACTTTCAATAGGCATCTCTAAATCTCTAATAAGGCATCCTCAAATAAAATCAATTTTACGTAAAGGACTGATGTCTTATATGTTAATACTACCTTTTAGCTCCATACGTCAAAGTGTATCTTTTGGAAAACGGGGCCTGTATAGCTAAGAAGAAGACCAGAATTGCACGGAAAACCCTTGATCCTTTGTATCAGCAGTCCCTGGTTTTTGATGAGAGTCCACAGGGTAAAGTTCTTCAGGTCAGTAATAGTTTCGTAATGTTTTACATTGCAATTCTACATCATGCATGTGAACACTGAAGCAGTGGTCAAACAGGAAGAGAATGGAGTTCAGTAGGGAGAAATGTGGTATGACATCCTTGAGTGGAGAGAATAACAACTCGTTGATTTACAGCACAGTAATGTATTACATTAAAATATATAGGGATTTATCCATTTTTGACAGTGGGATGTTAAAATCCCCTACTATAATGGGATTTAATGGAAAACAAAATTTTTACTTTGTCCCTCCCTTCTTTTCTTCCTTTTCTCTACCCTGTCCTCTAGTTTGGCCCTAATTTACACCTCTTGCCCCTTCTTGATAGATGGTGATGATGATGATGGTAGATGATAGATAGATATCAAGGCAAATGATGCTAATAATAGTTTATTGAGCATTATTATGTGCCAGACATGGGATGCAGAAAGGAGGAAAAGAGAGGAAAGCAGAAGTGCGCAGGGACCAGCAAATGTTCAGGACTGGTTGAGCATCAGGCGCATCATTAAGTGCTTCCATGCATTACGTCTTTTAAAGTTGTAACCACCGTGCGCAATAAATATCACCATCTCCATCTTAAAGATGGTGTCTCTGGACCACAGAGGTCAAATGATTAGGCAGAGTTACTCTGTAAATTGAAAAGGCAAGATTCTCCACCCCCGCCTGTATAAAGCAGGCGAACGAGATCGCTTGCGGACTGGGACATGGAGACGGAAGGCAGTGTGATGGAGCTTGTCCGGCCCCAACAGGTACTGACCCAGAGTGTGAGTGAGCTCACTGATGTATTAGTCATATGATCAAACCAAAATTGGCAGGCAAGTTCTCACAAAACGTAGCTTACAATTATGTTCAAACTGCCCCTTCACTAACAAGTCCATAATGTAAAAGAAATCTAATGAATATTCTCACTCTGTATACATATTCCATCATGCATGCACTCCATTGTACACAGAGTTGGATTGTTTTGCCCTCTTAGCTTACACCAATTTTAATTCTTGTCCATCACCCTGTGCATTTCTTACTAAATAGTGGTTACTAAAGAAGGTGTTGAATTTATTGATAAATAAACTTCTCTATTAATTTTTTTTAGATTTTTATTTATTTATTTATTTTTAGAGAGGGGAAGGGAGGGAAAAAGAGAGAGAGAGAAACATCAATGCGTGGTTGCCTCTCAGGTGCTCCCAACTGGGGACCTGGCCCAAACCCAGGCATGTGCCCTGACTGGGAATCCAACCAGTGACCCTTTGGTTCACAGGCAGGCACTCAATCCACTGAGCCTCACCAGCGAGGGCTCTGTATTAATTCTTAAACATGGTTTATATACGTAATACCCCTCATTGACCAGGGAAACATTATTTGCATTCCATCAAATCTAAAAATTATTGTGGAGTGTCTTTTTCAGCACCTTAATATTAGGATCTTCTTATCTAGTCCTCTTCTGTGGTGATGGTTATATTCCCTTCCTCTCCTTCACTGACTGGCCCACTTTTACAGAATAGTTGCTTTCAACTCTTCTAACATAAAAGAGAGAGAAGTTCAAGTTTTATTGTAATTCTCTGTCTCTACAGGTGATTGTCTGGGGAGACTATGGCAGAATGGACCATAAATGCTTTATGGGAGTGGCTCAAATCTTGTTGGAAGAACTTGACCTGTCCAGTATGGTAATTGGATGGTACAAATTGTTCCCGCCGTCATCACTGGTGGATCCCACACTCACTCCCCTAACCCGCCGGGCTTCCCAATCATCTCTGGAAAGTTCAACTGGGCCTCCCTGCATTCGGTCATAGTGAACTCATACCAGAGTCATTCCAATAAAACTCTACCTTTCAAGATAATAATTTGAACCAGATATTTCATGATCAAAAGCATTGTTGGAGACAATCAACTTGTGTTTTGCCTGTAGTAGTTTTTCAGTAATGTGTCCCAGTAGTTGTTTCAACCCCAGCTTCGTACGACAGAACAAGGCAGTCTATGAAATTGCAGTAGGAGCCAATGTGCTAGTGAGAGTCACTGATGCTTCTACCAAACAGAAAAAGAGGAAATTTCAAATTTGCGCACATGCGTGCACACACACACACACACACACACACACAGAGCAAACAGGATGAACTGGAAACTCTCACTCTGTGAAAGTTGTGTTTTACATGTTCCTACACAGGCCACAGGCAGTGTTATTTCCCCATCATGTAAGAAGTTTTGTTCGTTTGTGTTTTGTCTCTGTGTGTGTCGTTTGTTGGTTTGGGATTTGTTTTGTTTTATTTTTCCTGGGTCTGTTATTTTCACTGTTTTTTGGCTGTGGCATGCCAGGCCTCGTGATGCTGACAGAGACCCTTCCTTTCTTTTTCCAAAAGCACCAAAAAAAGGGCTGAAGCAGTCTCTGCAGCACCTGCCCCAAGTGCTTGACACCTAGACACGGCGAGGCCCAGGAAGGGCTTTCATTCCACCATTCTTCAAAGTCTTATGTGTCAAACCCGGAAAACAAAAAGTTCTTTTCCAAAACAAATCATCACAGACTCCCTTTTTTAAGGAAGAGTGTATCTGTTTGCGTTCTAAAACATTAATTTGTGTTTTCCGTTGTTTTGCATGGGAGACTTTTAAGGAAGTCAATCTGCAACTCATGCTGAGATCTAAAACTGACTGCATAATTGTACTTTGGAAACACTCCTTGTAATGCCTTTTACTTCCTGATGTTAATCAAAAGTATATGCTCATGTGTGTGGACCACACTTTTGACTTCCCACAATGGTGACTACACATGGATTGGAGCCTAAGACACTCTCAGCTATGCCCAGGCTTCTCGGCCATGTCTCCGTGTAGACACACCCATCTGCCCTGGAAAGAGCATGGTATGAGCTGTTCAATATTCCACTGGAAATTCCAGTTGAAATATTCTGCACTAAACTAATGTTTTTTATCAAATTTCAGTTTACATTTCTTTGAGATTGATGCAAGCACAAAGCTTGATTTTTTAATGCAAAGTATCTTACTTTTCTGGGGGGGATGGGAATAAAACAAAGTCAAATTTCAATTTGCATTTTCTTCATCTGAGTTTTTCTTGGCCTTGAATTTCCCTTGTGACATTCTGTACCCGTGTTACCTACTGCAGACTCTGCAGGTGCATTGACATGTTCGCCCTCCTTTTACGAGTCGTCCGCCTTTTGTGATTACACAGATAGAGCAGCATGACTTGGAACTGTTCAAAGCTGCATGCACGTTTTGTAAAAAAATAAAAAACAAAAAAGAAAAGAAACAAAAGGTGATTTAATAATGTATGTTAGTTCCACATAGGCTCGCTTGTATGTTGCATGTACTTGTACAGTTTGCTCGTTAATTACTATACTGAAATAACCAAGAAATCTAAGCCATCCATTTTTGTTATAGACATTTTGCAGGTTTTCGCCAGGCTCAATCTGTGAGTCTGTGGTGAAATGTCTATAGATGGACTTTATTTTTTACCCTCTGGAAAACGTGATGTAGTATGGACCAAATTCCTTCTAATACATATTTTGGTGTAGATTCCTACTGTGGGGCTGTAACACATGTAGACACTGTGTACACACTAGGTTTTAATCCATAGACATACTGCCTGCACCAAGTGAATTCTTTATCCTTATTTACACACGCCAGAATTACCTGCCCATCATTGCACAGGGCACAGACTGACCACTCTTCACCGTGCTGAGCAGGAAGAACTGAAGCATTGGTGCACTTATACTAGATTCCGTTCTGTCTTAGTGGCCAACAACCAACTAATTATAATTGGGTAGTATCTTTCTATTTTGACCACTTGTCTTAACACTTCCCTGTGCTTTTAAATGAACTTCCAACTCATGTATGTAAACATGTTTAATAAAATTTACTTTTCATGTCAGTTGGTAGCCATCTGTGTTCTGTGTCTGGCCCAGACATCCACTGTGGGTTCTATGGTGCAACATCGCAGGGAGGGGAGGCTGGGACTTGTTGTCTGCTGCGGGCATCTGATGACTTGTCACTGCACTATCTGTGTCTTAATCTATGGCCCAAAGGGTACTTTGCATCACGTACAAGTTTTCACTTTGTCAGCCTGTCTAAGTGAGCACATGACTATACTTCTGAAAAGTGGCATTATTAAAAAACAATAAATCTCAGTAAGAATCAAGTGGAAGGTTGTTTTTCTGCTGCTGTGTGAGTGTGCTAATTAAAGCAGCAACTCTGTTGCTCAGTTGCCAGATCATTTCAAGTTATGTGACGTGCCAAAATACTAATTGTCATGTCTCTCATTAAAGCATCTGGGGCTTCTGCCCATCTTTTCCTTCCAAACCCCTGACTGATCTGTAAATCCTTGCCTTACAGTAGGTTGACTTAACCAAGCAATACATTAAACCGTCTTCAACAGAACCTCAGAAAATATATTGTCAAATATAGTGGAGTCTCTAAAAGTGACATGTAGTGAGAAATTATTAGCTTTCTCAATTTAATGTTATGGTATTTTTCTTCTCCAATAGTGTGTTCATAGATTTCATACTCAGCATTTTCACAAATGGTTAGTAAGCACTAGTTTCGTGTTGCTTGGCTGTGAAATAACCGTTGAGATCTACTTCACACCCTCCAAGAGCCATTACATTTTTATGGGCCACACTGGCTTTGCCTTTGTAAAGAAAACTACAGCTAGCTCAGTATCGAATTTGAGACCACAAAGCAGTTTGGAACTTGTCACCACATCAATTGTTTAAAGTTTGTTAAACAGCTGCCTGAATTTTCCTGAGTCCACCAGCTGTTTGGTCTACGAGACCCAAAAGTATCTGTTAGACCGGGCCGGCAGCCGATGGGCCCAGTTCCCGACTCTGTCGGAGCAGAGCCAGCACAGGCGGGCGGCAGAGCAGCACGGAACGGGGCAAGGCCACTGCAGCGGGAGGCGCTGAATGCAGCTCGAGGGTGTTTTCCTGCACAGAAGAGCAGAAACCTCTCTGCAGGTCAGATAAATCTGCATTATGATTTCGGGACCTACAAGGATGAGAAGTAACTGGAGGAAAAGGGATTTTCCTAAGTCTTCATGGTTTCTTGCTGACCCTGACAACCTACTTTCTGGAAATCCCAGCCTGAGGTGTGATCTGATTATACTCAACCAACATCATTAAGGGCTTTGTTGGGTACTAGATATTAATTAAGTACTTGGGATATAAAAATAAAAAAAAACCCACCCTGTCTTAAAGGAGCACTCTACCTATTAAGAGAGATCATTACATTTTTAAAATGGCAACATATTTGATCAGGGCTAACTATGGAATTATGTTCAATTCTCATAATAGTCTTATGCATTAAGTACTTACAACGGCTACTACTGCAGCTTGGCGAAGCTAAGCAAGAGGCTAGTTAGTGATGGAGCTGGGATATGAACCAAGGTCTAGGTAACCCCAGAGCCTGCCCTGCAAACTGCTCTGCGTCTTCCAGTTACTGCTGTCAGATGAGTTAGATCCTCAAGGATGAAGAGTCCACCAGATGGGGAAGGCCTCTAACCCAGACCATTCTGCACCTTTAGGCAGCTCCTGGCCAGCACGGTCTCTCTAGTGCCTGTGCTGTTACTGGGGCAGTTGCAGGATTAGGGGAAAGGGGCAAGTAAGCTCTTCTCCACCCCCTGAAACTGCTAACGTTTCTCTCTGCTCACCACTTCCTCTGTGTCCTCTCCTGCCTGCAGTCACCATTTGCACCACCAAACCTCTTGCGTACATCATCTGCAGCTCAGGAAAAGCATGAATAAAGGCTACAGAACAATGTTGTCTTTAGCCAAGCCCAGACTTATCCTTTGGTTCCAAGGTAAAATTATTCTGAGTACCCAGGCCCTACCGCATCAGTCACAGATACCTGCATCGTGGAGTTGAGCTGACAGGCCTGATTCCCAGGCCCACGGAGCTTCTCAGTCCTCCCAGAGTCAGTCCATATGCTCTCAAAGTTACTGCCTCCAAAACAGGTTCCATGACTCGGCATACAGGTGCAGAGTCCCTTCCCCTCGGAGGGGCTTAGCAGTCGTCTGCGCCTATCACAGCTCTTCTACCCAGCTCGTCCTTTCCTCCTGAGCACAAGAACTTTGTCATGCCGTCTATCTCCAGCACCTAGAACAGCATGTGACACGCAGTGGGGACCTAGTGGACCCCATTTGTTGGATGGACAGATGAATGAATGAACGGATGGGCAAATAAATGACAAATGGAATGAGCTCACACTCTGACCTGAATCTCCTTACTGCCAATCTCTTAACTGTTTCTCCTCCAGTTTCCACCATCACCTCACCATTTAAAGTCTACTGCATTTTTTGTAGCCATGATCCTCATTATTTTTAATAACAATTTGATGTTACCTCTGGCTTTATTGCCTTATCCTACCGTGTAAACATTGTTCACAATTGTTCTTGGCTCACATCGGTAACAAACCCTTGGGGCTCGTCCCTACCCCTCAAGTGAGATCTAGCCAGTATGTGTGCGTGAATGGCACGCTGCTCTGCCACCGTGACTCCATAAACTACCCACACCTCAGAAGGAGGCACAGTAGATGCATCAATATATATGTACCAAAACTTCACAGCACTCAGAGTGACCGTAAAGGAAACCCCTGCCTTTGGTAAGTGTGCACATTCTACACGGACAAACGAGTGGAGAAGACAAAGCCTGGAAAAGGGGGACGTAGACAATCCCTGTGCCTCCGGTGGGAAAACGGGCATATCCACATCCGTGTGACTCAGCACTGCCCTTCCTTACACCACACACGCCGGGACGTACGCTCCATGAGAGTAGGAAGTGTGCCGTGGTTTGTTCCACTAGCACAGGTTTTGTTACCTCTTCATTCCTCTAGATGTTCCAAGTTCCACCAACACATAAAGTAAAGCCACCAGGAAGCACACCCGGTCCCACGGACCCCTTCCTGCCATCGAGTTCTTTCCACCATCAAGTCTCCAAGTCTCTAATGCTTTGCCTCTGCTTTTTATTGCATTCATTAAAAATTCTTACATTGGCTGTATATTTTGCCAGATATTTTTTAACACATTACTCAATATCTTTGTTTTTTCCAACGATGCACATGATGTTTTTATTTGAAATGATGTATTACTTAATGTCTGGAAAAGCTTTTTCTTCTAAAGACTTACGCTTCCTTCTACCCTAGGGTCCTTATCCTTTTATATTTTGGGCCCTTATGGTGCCTGGTAAAGCCTTTAGCCTCCTTCTCAGAACAATATTAAGCTCATTAGCTCATTTTAAAAATACATAGGGTTAAAAAACAATTATATTAAAAAAAATTTAAAACACTTTAAAAACAAATTTGTGAAGTACTAAAATATATGACTCTTTCACTGAAGTATTAAATAAAATAATGAAAGACCAGTAACCACTATATTGTTGAAGTAGTGATGAGCAAAAATGATAGCTCCAGGTATCTGCAGCAACTCCAATGTGATGTAAAAATATCTGTAATTTAGCCCTGGCTTGCATAGCTCAGTGGATTGAGTACAGGCTGCAAACCAATGCATTGCAGGTTTGATTCTCAGTCAGGGCACATGCCTGGGTTGCAGGCCAGGTCCCCAGTAGGGGCCATGTGAGAGGCAACCACACATTGATGTTTCTCTCTCTCTCTTTCTCCCTCCCTCCCCCTCTCTAACAAAATAAATAATAAAATCTTTTAAAAAATATCTGTAATTTCACTGACAACATCATCACCGGTACAGCTATGCTCTTGTGGTTTGCTGCCTACAGTGACAGTGAAAAGAAGTGCCCAATTTTCACTTAGAGGTAAAAAAAAAGAGGTAAAAGCACATTTATTTTTCTTCCTGTCGAAGTTCACAAGCCTCCTGAAGTTCTTCTTGGGACTCAGCTATTCAGAGCTCTGCTCAGCACTCTCGTACCAACTGCAGCAGAGCTCATGACTAATGTGTTTTTTCTTTCTTTTTATGCCCTTTCCCAATAATGTTATAATACAATAGCTTGATGAAACTCTTTGTAAATCCTTTCAAAACGATTCAAAGAAAAAAAAACACAACAGTGACGTGAACTGGTACTTTAGTGCCTGTCACATAGAATGTGTCTGAAAAACAAGATGATAGAATGAATGAATGGTGGGAAGACTAAGAACTGCACATTATCCCAGATCACTGTTTCTCAGTCCACTGAAATTTGCTCTCCTTTTGATAAATGTAAAAACTTTACCGCCTACTCCCACCACAGCTATAGTTATAGTGTTCAAGGGGTCTATAGCTCTTCCTCCAACTGAGATACCAAGTTAAATTCTCTCCTTTTTGGTTATCTGTAGCCAAGATTATTCTTTCATGCAATTCTCCAGCTTGTATTCCAAAGTCAATCCTACTTTGTTTCAGTTTGGTTTGCTTTTGTTTTTACTTTAAATGTATATCAAAAATGATGTTTTGATTTCTCAACCTATGCATATCAACATGGAGATTTCTGCGCTGGGAATGGACACATTAAAATTCCAAGTGTAACCGATACACAGTGCTCTATGACACCAAGTTCCAAAAAAATCCTATTTAAATTTTTCACAGTTGTTGCAACAGTATAATTTTACATTATAAATTGATTTGAACCTATAAGTCCACCACCACTGTTTCTACTGGTTGGCATATTGGAGCCTTTTCTATGGGGATTTCTTATTCTTCTGAAAGCAACTCCAACCTGAAGTCAAAGACTCTTCCAATCTGTTCTTTTGTAAATGTTCAATGCACCCCCCATCCCCCGTGCTGTAAAGCAGAGTGTTTGTCCAGAGAAAGAGGCAGGGGGAGGAACTTCAAGACCTAACACAGTGTTAGCTCTCACTGTTCGAGAGCTAAGAACAGGGAGGAGATGAACAACCACTTGCCTCTGATGGGAGTTCTGCCTCATTGCATGACGACCA